CCGGGGGCAGCGCGGAGCGCTCAGGGCCCGGGTGGGCGGCGTGGCCCGGGGCGTGGGCCGCCCGCCGGAGACACGCGGCAAAGAGGGGCTGCAGGGGTGAGACTTGTCCCAGGCGGGGCAGCCAGCGGACAGGGGCGAAGAACCGGCCGGGGTCCCCCAAACCGATAAACTTCCCCACTGCTGCCGGGGAGCCCCGCGCCTCTCCCGCTCGGCTGCGCTCCAGCAGCTTGCCCCGCCAGGAAGGAGCCGCTGGAGCGCAGCCGAGCGGGAGAGGCGCAGGGCTCCCCGCCGGTGGCGGGATGCGCCGCCTGTGCCCGGGGCGGGCTGGGGGGCGGAAGGCTCCGCGGGGAAGGCAGCGCGTGCAGCCGGGATGTTGTGTGCGATCCGGTGGCGCGGCTGGGGCCTGCTAATGCCCCCGGCCCCTGCGAAACTGCTTTTTTTTGTTGTTGCTCCGCTGCCGTTTTTTGTTGTTTTTGTTGTTGCTCCGTTGCTGTCCCCCCCCCCTCCCCCGCCGTCCCGATATTTCATCCCTGTGATCTGGTCACCCTAGCTCTAAGTTATAAAGAGGGCAGCACCACCTGGTCCTCTGCTTGCTAAAATGGCATAGGCACCTAACTCCAGGTGGTTTCGTAGCTGAGAATCGCGAGCACAGATAAACACCTAGATTAACCTCAACTTAGGTGCTTATCTCCATGAGCACACACTCCTCTGATCAGCATCTCCCATCGGCTAGCTTAGGTGGGAAGCCATCTAGGATGCTGACCTTTGTGAATTACTGCATAATCTCTTCCAATTCATTGTATAGTATAGAAGCCTAGGCTGCCAACTCAGGCTTTGTGAATCCCAGTGATTTTGGAGTCACCTAAAAGTTAGGTGCTGTGATGCTCAGCATTACAATGCCTAACTTCTTCTGTGATTCCAGCCCTGTTTGCTTTAGAGAAGAGATGAGTCAGAAGGGATACCATAAAGCTTTACAAATCTATGAATGGTCCAAGGAAGGCAGAGTGGGCACTTCTATTTCCCATGAGGCAAGAACAATGGGACACAAGAATGAATCTTAGAGGTGACAAATTTAAAACTTGTAAAAGGAAACACAATCCAAAGGTTGGAAGCTGAAGCTAGACAAATTCAAACTGGAAATAACGTGTACACTTTTAACAGTGAGGATTATTAACCACTGGAACAATTTACCAAGAGGCATACTAGATTTTCCACTAGGAACAACTTTTAAATCAAATTTGGATGTTTTTCTAAAAGCTGCGCTAGGAATTATTTTGGGGAAGTTCTTCGGCCTGTGTTATACTAGATGATAACTAGTCCGTCTGTGTTAGACTAGATAATCACAGTGGTCCCTTCTGGCTTTGGAATCTATGAAATATATTTTTACACAATGCACAATTAACCTGTGGAATACATTGCCACAAGATATCACTGACATCAAAAGACTAGCAGAG